ACCACAACCTGTGGGAACGCGCATTGCAGCTGCCGTGTCGTTTCCTGCTGGAGACTCGGCTAGGCGGCGGTGATGGCCACGCCTGTGCATATCTCCGATTGGTCGTTGAGGCCTCAGGACGACTCCAAGATGGCTTGAGAACGCCCTGAGGTTTGCTCTGGTACTCCACGAAGGTATTGCATTGCCTCTGGCGTTGTCGCAGTATTTCTACGTTTGGTGCGCGTCCGCGAATAGTTTGACTTCTTCTGGGGTCGGCTGAGCTTTCGGGACTGACCTTCAGGACGTTGCGCTCAAGGGTGAATCAACTGAGGTGGCGGAGGAGGAGGAGGATGATGATGATGATGGTGATGGTGATGGTGATGGTGACGATGATGCTGGTGGTGGTGATGATGATGCTGATGATGATGATGATGGTGATGCTGATGCGGATGATGATGCTGATTCTGATACTGATGCTGATCATGCCGATGCTAATTATGGTGGTGATGATGGTGGTGATGCTGATGATGATTTTGAGTGTGGTGGTACTGATGATGCCGATGATGATGATGATGATGATGATGATGATGATGATGATGATGATGATGATGATGATGATGATGATGATGATGATGATGATGATGATGATGATGATGCCGATGCCGATGCCGATGCTGATGCTGATGCTGATGCTGATGCTGATGCTGATGATGGTGGTGGTGGTGATGGTGGTTGTTGTGAGGACGATGACGATGCTGATGATGGTGATGATGACCATGATGATGCTGATGAGGATGAGGATGAGGATGAGGATGAGGATGAGGATGAGGATGAGCATGTCGAGGACGAGGGCAAACTTGGGAAGGGAGAGGGAGCGAGATCAGGAGGAGGAAGAGGGGAAGCTTGCGGAGGGAGAGGAAGTGTACGTAGACGAATTAAGAGGATGGAGACCAGGGTGAGGAGGCGCATGGCTAGGACCACGGTGGGAGGAGGGGGCGGGTAGTTTCGCGCAGTCTTGAAGCCCTCTTGCACCGTTTGCGGTTCCTCTCGGGGGCCGTGCTGGGCTGGTCTTGGAGACCTCTCGGGCCGTCTTTGGTCTGTACAAGCCCGAACCGGCGAGACTGCGAATCTCGTCCAACCACATGGAACCTCAATGATGTGTTGCCTCTTGAGACCTGCTTTGGGGTCCTCTTGGGGCCCTCCTGGGGGGGGTCTCTTGGGCATCCTGGGCCGTCTCGAGGCCACTTTGGATGTCCTCGAGGCCTCTCCTGCGTGTCGGAGCTCTTCCTGAGCTATCCTAGAAAGCATCTTGGACCATGGGCCATGGGTGGTGGACCTGGAAGCTCCGAGGGCCCCGGATGCGCGAGCACGAGCACGAGCTCGTAGACCCCTCCCTCGGACGGGATGGTGGACCCCGGGTGGGAGGGGACAGGCGTGAGGGGACCCGCATCTCTCGATGTTTCCTTCCACTCCCAGCAGGCCGGGGTCGGAGAATTCGCGGCATCACGAACACCAGTCTCTGTACCAGTAGGAGGGGCAGTGCAGTGAGGAGGAGGTGGAGGAGAGGGGGAGGAGGAGGAGGAGGAGGAGGAGGAGGAGGAGGAGGAGGAGGAGGAGGAGGAGGAGGAGGAGGAGGAGGAGTAGGGCGAGGAGCGGGATCAGGAAGAGACAGATGCGGAGACAGAACAGTAGCATCAATAGGATGAGAGTAAGCGGAAGAAGGATCACGAGGACTTGGAGGAGGACGGGGACAAGGAGAAGGAGGGAGGAGGTTATTGCGGGAAGAGTGGGTGGGGGGAGGGAGTTGCAATGAGGGGGAGGGCGGAGCGCGGATAGAGGAGTTGATAGGGGGTGGAAGGGCATGATGATGCTGCTGATGACGAGGATGCTGATGATGAGGAGGATGCTGATGATGCTGCTGATTATGATCATGCTGATGCTGCTGATGGTGGCGATGATGGTGGTGATGAGGTTAGTGATGTTGGCGATGCTGATAGTGTTGACGGTGACGATGACGATTACGACGATGACGATTCTGATGACAACGATTCTGATGACGATGCTGATGCCGGTGCTGATTATGCTGATGCTGATGTTGGTTATGATGATGATGGTGATGTTTGCGATTATGACGAATAGGATGTTGCTGCTAATGATGATGATGATGACGATGATCATGCTGATGATGGTGATAGTGATTATGATGACGATGCTGGTGACGGCGACCAGCTACCATGATGACGAATACGTTTTCAGCCGACTACATCGAATAGCACGATGCCGCTTACGACAATGATGATGATGCTGATGCTGAAGCTGCTGAGGATGCTGCTGGCACTAATGGTGATGCTGATGCTGATTGTGGTCATGTTTATGCACATGCTGCTGTTGTTGATGAAGGTGATGGTGATGATGATAACGATGACATGATTATGACTATCATGCTGATTCCGATAATGAGGATGATGATGGTGACGATTGTCATGGTCAGGATGATGATGATGCTAGCGATGAGGATGCTGCTGCTGCTGATGATGATAAACACCGGGCAGCTGGCCCCATGGCCTCCCGCCAGCCCCACGCCAAGGGGCGAACATCCATACGGGCGCATTACCGCGCTGCATGCGTACCTTCGGCCGGGCCAGGCAGGGCAAGATCCAACACTGCATCGCGTGGCGCGTGGATGCCCGCACCGACCACGACTCCTCTCAGGTCCGAATCCTCACACTCCTCGCTTAAAACTGCTAGCGAACTATTCTCACCCCCTGGCCTAAACTGCCACCGGCATACCGTCAACCCCCTGACTTAACTGCCAGCAACATATCCTCACACCCCTCGCTTCCAACTGCCCGCGCAATTCTCTCATCCCCTGGCTTAAACCTGCCACCGAAATATCCTCAACCCCCCGACTTACAGTCGTCAGCGAAATATCCCGATACCCACGCATGAAACTGCCAGCGCAACATCCTCACCGCTCCTGGCCTAGAACTGCCAGCTAGATAGCCTCACCCCTTGGGCTTATAACTGCCAGCGAAATATCCTCAACCTCCGGCCTTCGAACTGCCAGCGAAATATCTTCGCCTTTCTTGGCTTTTTAAACTGCCAGACCGTTTGGAGTTCAGACTGCCAGCCGAGTATCCTCCACCCCCTGGCTTACAGTTGCCAGCGGAATATCCCCACCCCCTGACGTTGCAATATCATCGCGCCCCTCGAATGAAACTGCCAGCTAAATATCCCCACCCCTGGACTTTATAAACTGCCAGCGAAATATCCTCGCACCCCTTGCTTGACATTGCCAGCGAAGTATTTTCCATCCCCTGGCCGAAAGCTGCCAGCGGCATATCTTCACACCTCTCGCTGAAAGTGCCAGCGACAAATCCTCGACCCCCCCGACTTAAAACTGCCAGCGGAATATCCTCACACTCCTTGAATAGAATTGCCAGTGGTATATCCTCAGCCCGTAGCGTAAAAATGCCAACGACATTTTCCCACCCCCTTGCAAATTAATTGCCAGCGAAATATCCCCGCGCCCCTCCCTCACAAACTGCCCGCGCATTTTCTTTACCCTCTGGCCTATTACCGCCACCGGATATCTTCAACCTCCTGACTCACAATTGCCTGCGACATATTTTCGCACCCCTCGATTGAAACTGCCGGCGATATATCTGCACCGTCTCTGGCCTAACACTTTGCCAGCAAATCATCCGCACCCCCTGCATTCAAGCATTGCCAGCGAAATATCCCCACCCCCCAGCCTTACAACTGCCAGCGGAATATCCTCACCGCCCCTGGTCTACAGCTGCCAGCTAAACATCCTCACCCCTCTGGACTTCAGACTGCCAGCGAAATGTCCTCCACCCCCTGATTTAAAGCGCCGCCGAAGTATGCGGAACCCCAGAAATTATTTGCCATCTAGCGGCTTTGGTGATTCAGCGGTCATTTCAGTCAGTCATTCAGTCTACTGCCCGAGAATGATATTACGGGCTGCGCCCGTAAACAAATCATCATGATGACGATGTCGATGCTAGTGATCATGGTGTTGACGCTGGTTTTGATGTTGGTGCGGATGGTTATGGTGCTGCTGTTGATGATGATGATGATGGCGATGCTGATGTTGCTGTTGCTGCGGATGCTGATGGTGATGATGGCGACGGGGATGATAGGTGATGGTGGTGACGATGATGGTGATGATAATGATGAGGATGGTGCACCTGGTGGTGCTGGTGGTGTTGCTGCTGATGATGCTGCTGGTGTTGCTGTTGCTGGTGATACGTTTGTTGGCGATGGCGCTGGTGGTGCTGGTAATGATGTGCGAGCACATGCAGCAATGATCCTGGCGAGTGGCCCAACCATATGCAGTTGTGAGTATCGCAGGAGAGTCGCAGCTGCCGACGGGCCCGCCGCCCCGTCACTCTCATCCGCATTTGCGGGGTGCGACGTATCGTCTTCGATGGAGCTCCTTGGGCACGAAGCGTGTGCGGGTTTTGCCAACACGGGCGCGGTCGTGTCAAGTGAGGGGCGTGCGGACCTGGGCGAGGTTGTGTCATGCGAGTGCGGCCAATGGGGCCTTCGGTGGACCTCCTTATGAGGCCACGCGGCGTAGGGGTGTGCCGAAATCGGCGCGGTGGTGCCATGCGAACGCAGCCATTGGGGCCTTCGGTGGAGCTTTTGATGGGGCCACGAAGTGTGTGACGGTGTGCCGAAATGGGTGCGGTGGTGTCATGCGAGCGCAGCCGCTGGGGCATTCGTTGGGGTTTCTTATGGGGCCACGAAGCGCATGAGGGGCATGCCGAAACAAACACATGCGGAGGGCATAAACGAGGAGGGGAAGGAGAGAGGAGGGGGCAGTTCGAGGAGGATGGGGAGTGAACGCGGGGACCGTCTATTATTAATGAGGAGCGAACACCACAGGATGGTTGCGGAAAATGAGAGGGGCGAGGCGGGGGGGGGTCCTGGCCGCCACGGGCCCGGCCCCGTGCGGCAGCTCCGCCGCGCCCGCCGCGGCCCGCGAGCGCGCCGAGGGGGCCGCCGCCGCCGGGGCGCGGGCGGGGCCGCGCGAAGGCCGCGTTTCGCGTCATTCGCCACAGGGAACCCAGACATGGTCGCGTCGTAACAGAAACTCATGACGGGAAGTTTTCAGCAATTTTCGGTCATTGGGAGCCCTCGCCCGGCCCCAGGACCGAACAAGAGCGATTCAGGACGAGAAGCCCGGCCCCAGGGAAAGGGTCGAGACATCCAGGGACCAGGCATTGAAAAATTTCATAAGCGCGCATGTTCGGGAAGACCGAGCAACCACCACCAGGTAGGGGCGTTGACCGGCTACCCCCCCAACGATCTGGTGGCACCCCGTTCCAGGCGCGTCCCCAGAGAGTGCCTGGAACAGAGTGCCACCAGCTCGGAGGGGGCGGTCTTTGGGAATGGAGTTCTATGGAGTTCTGGTGGCGGTGGCTCTGCTTGCTTTCATGAGTCATGAGAGTTTTTCGTGTGAGCCCTCGCAATTTAGTTTTTAGGGCGCACTGGCATCGATTAGCGTCTGGTGGTTTATGTGATAGCTTCGATGTTGCGTCGTTTCAACTAGGTGCCGTTCTAGCGTCGGCCAACAGGATGGTCTGGGAGGCTCCCGTGAGTTGTCACCGGACAGTGCCCGTCATGCCTTCCAGCGTCTCGCAGCAATCGAAGCGGAGGTTTTTCATCGGGTTCGGCCTCTGGGGGCCCTTACCTGGCCTCTTATTACTTATTGAATCACTTTAACCCAACCCGAAGGCCCACATTCACCCTCGATTTCCACTTGGGGGGGGGCACTTCGACAAAAACACACGTGGAACCCGTAGCCCCCCGACCCGAAACTTGGGTCTTCGGGTCGGGTTTAGGGGTGGTCTGGTAGGTAGTCAGCCTCGGGGCCGTCAAGAGGTGACTCGGGACGAGAGGCTGGTCCTGGAGAATCAGGAGGGAAAGAAACACACAGACACAATGAATCGTCGATTCCCCAGAAAACATGGGAAAATATGGGAAGTGGGGGGGAAGACAGAAACCCAGAAAATGTGGGAAAATACGGGGAATCCTTTTATTTGTGTGTCTTTATTTGTGTGTCCTGGGGCCCCGTCCTGGAGAAGCGGTCGAGAGGTCGGGAGCCCGCACCCCGTGCATCCGAGGCGCTGGACGTCGGGGGCGCTCCCCATCCTTAAACTCCTCCTCCTCCTCCTCCTCCTCCTCCTCCTCCCTCCTCCTCCTCCTCCTCCTCCTCCTCCTCCTCCTCCTCCTCCTCCTCCTCCTCCTCCTCCTCCTCCTCCTCCTCCTCCCGGAGGCTCGAGTCTACGGGCCGGTTCCTCCTGTCGGAGTGCCTACCTCCAGCTCCTGCTGCTGCTGCTTCTCTTGTTCCTCCTCCTCCGCCACGCTCCTCCTGCGTCTCCGCCGCGCTCCTTCTCCTCTAGCTCCTCCTGCTGCTCCTCCTCCTCTTCCCACTCTTCCTCCTCCTCCTCCTCCTCCTCCTCCTCCTCATCCTCCTCCTCGTCCTCCTTCTCCTCCTCCTCCTCCTCCTCCTCTCGCCATCTCTCGTTTCTCCTCTTCCTCCGCTGCGCTCCTCCTCCTCCTCCTCCTCCTCCTCCTCCTCCTCCTCCTCCTTCTGCTCCTCTTGATCCTCCGAGACAGTAGCTCCTCTTGCTCTCGCTTCTTCGTTTCTCCAGACCCCCCTCGCTCCGTGGCCGAGCTCACGGCGGACGGCGGAAGCTCCTTTCTTGTGCCACTCTTCCTGGGAAGGGCCCTGCTGCTTCCGGCCTCCCCGGGGGCCCCGTCGCTGGACTCCGGGGCAGCACTGTGGAGACCCGTGCTCGGGGGCCCCCAAACGGGGCGGTGACCACACCTCGTAGTGAGTCGGTGGGGATTCGGGGTCACCGCACGGTTTTGCGACTTGGGTCGTTCTCCGAGGATGTCTCGGGCGGCTGGGGCTTCCAGGGTCCCATGACCGTGCGGTGACGGACTGTGCGTTGAGGTCTCTTGGGGTTCCGAAGTCACCGCACGGTCTGACACCACACGGTTTTGGGACCCCCAGCATGCCCAGGCACATCTTTTTTGCTTTCAGGGTGCCCTGGATTTCTTGGGTTTTAACGGTTTTGCGATGGAGAACGTGACGCTCCCACACCAGAGATCAATGGGCGTCCTGGGGTCTTGGGGTTTGGTTTTTTGCAGAAGGTTTTTTGTGGTCGGGCCCCTACTGTACAAGCCCAGAAGGCTGGCGCTCCAACTTCCTCGGTGCGTGGACTCTGGGTGGGCTGGAACACCTCCCAGGGCCAGTGTTTCGTCCTGAGTCGTTGGCTTCAGCCACGTGCAGGGAGGGGCAGGGGGGCGGGGAGCAGGCTTCTTAGAAGCACCCCTGCTTCCCAGAAGGCGCGGGCCTCATCTATAGATGCAGGGCTGGCGCCTTCTGAGAAGCAGCCTCCTTCTAAGATCTCCCCCTCCCCTACGGTCGGGGCGCCGCAGAAGGAACCCTTTCCGTTTGGGAGGCGCTCCGTGTTCCTTAACTGTTTCAAAGTGTGATTCTGGTTTTACCGAGGTCTTCGATGGAAAGTCGACGTTCATTTCAACTTATGGAGCAACGAGGCACCGTTCCCCATGCAGGGCTCCTCAGGTCCAAGCCCAGACTGCATATTCTCCCCCCTGTGTGCGCGCCTCCGACCCGAGCCGTTTTCGTGGACAGGCCCCGGGAGGCCAGCCGAGGGCCCCGGGAGACCGACAACGCAGGCCGCTCTACCTTCTGAAGGAGCATCGGAAGTCTTCGGGGGCGGCAGAGAGGGGGGTGATGACTGGGGTTAGGTCGGGCCTCCACAGGGGGAGTACTCTTCAAGAATAGTTAAAAATAGTAGTGGGACGATAGTTTGATTATTTTTGACCATTTGGGGGTATTTACCTAACAGCGAAGACTGATAGGTTTCTAGTAGTGTCGAAAGAAAGCATCTTGACTCCCCAGGGGGGTCTGGGCGGGTGCCGGGGAGAACCCGCGGAAATAGTTTTAAGCAAACAGTTACACACTTCGTGGTCTTCGAGGTCCCAGAACTCCATTCCTGGGCATGATTTTGAATGCCCGGAGCCAACTGTAGGCCATTTCCTGCTCTTCGAGCTCCCAGAACTCCATTCCCGGGCCACATTTTGAATGCCCAGAGCCGACTGTAGGCCACTTCGTGCTCTTCGAGTTCCCAGAACTCCATTCCCAGTCCACATTTTGAATGCCCGGAGCCAACTGTAGGCCATTTCGTGGTCTTCGAGTTCCCAGAACTCCATTCCTGGGCATGATTTTGAATGCCCGGAGCCAACTTCGAGTTCCCAGAACCCCATTCCCGGGCCACATTTTGAATGCTGAGGCAGGCTGATGCTGACTCTGAGGCAGGCTGAGGCTGAGGCAGGCTGAGGCTGAGGCCGAGGCTGAAGGCAGACTGATGCTGAGGCTGAAGCAGGCTGAGGCTGAGGCTGAGGCAGGCTGATGCTGAGGCAGGCTGAGGCTGAGGCTGAGGCTGATGCAGGCTGAGGCTGAGGCAGCCTGAGGCTGAGCCGAGGCTGAAGGCAGACTGAGGCTGAGGCTGAAGCAGGCTGAGGCTGAGGCAGGCTGAGGCTGAGGCTGAGGCAGGCTGATGCTGAGGCAGGGCTGAGAGGCTGAGGCTGGCTGAGGCAGGCTGAGGCTGAGGCAGGCTGGCTGAGGCTGAGGCCGAGGCTGAGGCAGACTGAGGCTGAAGCAGGCTGAGGCTGAGGCTGAGGCAGGCTGAGGCTGAGGAGGCTGGCTGAGGCAGGCTGAGGCTGAGGCTGATGCAGGCTGAGGCTGAGGCAGGCTGAGGCTGAGGCGAGGCTGAAGGCAGACTGAGGCAGGCTGAGGCTGAGAGGCAGGCTGAGGCTGCTGCTGAGGCTGAGGCTGAGCTGAGGCTGAGGCTGAGGCTGAGGCTGAGGCTGAGGCTGAGGCTGAGGCTGAGGCTGAGGCTGAGGCTGAGGCTGAGGCTGAGGCTGAGGCTGAGGCAGACTGAGGCTGAGGCTGAAGGCAGGCTGAGGCTGAGGCTGAGGCAGGCTGAGGCTGAGGCTGAGGCAGGCTGATGCTGAGGCTGAGGCTGAGGCTGAGGCTGATGCAGGCTGAGGCTGAGGCAGGCTGAGGCTGAGGCCGAGGCTGAAGGCAGAGGCTGAGGCTGAGGCTGAAGGCAGGCTGAGGCTGAGGCTGAGGCAGGCTGAGGCTGAGGCTGAGGCAGGCTGAGGCTGAGGCTGAGGCAGGCTGAGGCTGAGGCAGGCTGAGGCTGAGGCAGGCTGAGGCTGAGGCCGAGGCTGAAGGAGACTGAGGCTGAGGCTGAAGCTGAGGCTGAGGCTGAGGCAGCTGAGGCTGGCTGAGGCTGAGGCTGATGCTGAGGCAGGCTGAGGCTGAGGCTGAGGCTGATGCAGGCTGAGGCTGAGGCAGGCTGAGGCCGAGGCCGAAGGCTGAGGCTGGCAGGCTGAGGCTGAGGCTGAGGCTGAGGCTGAAGGCTGAGGCTGAGGCTGAGGCTGAGGCTGAGGGCAGGCTGAGGCTGAGGCTGAAGGCAGCTGAGGCTGAGGCTGAGGCAGGCTGAGGCTGAGGCTGAGGCTGATGAGGCTGAGGCAGGCTGAGGCTGAGGCTGAGGCTGATGCTGAGGCTGAGGCAGGCTGCGGCAGGCTGAGGCTGAGGCCGAGGCTGAAGGCAGACTGAGGCTGAGGCTGAGGCAGGCTGAGGCTGAGGCTGAGGCAGGCTGAGGCTGTGACTGCGACTGCCGTTGCCACTGCGACTGTCATCGCGAATGCGACTACGACTGCGAGAACAGCAAAATTCTACAATTGGATTCTCATCTGAATCTTAAGGGAAATGCTTCCAGATATGCTCCTACACATCGCTGTTAGGTTGCTTTGCCGGGATAATTTGTGACTATTTTCATTTTTCGTGTGAAATCCACCTGTAGGGGGACATGCCCGACCTTAGACTAGGAGGGGGGGGGATATCATGGCGGGGGCCATGCGGCCATGATCTCTCCCCAGATTTCATGGCGCGTCTTCTTATCTCAATACGTCGGCCATGATTTGTGCCCCCCCCTCTTGGCCGCCCCCGATGTCTGGGAGAACAGGTGGGGACGAGATCGGTATTGTTTAAGCGATCCCCATCCCCATCCTCAGCCAATTCGAGACCCCAACCCAATTACTACCCCAGTTGCTGACACGCCCCTCGAAACCCGAAGGAAACTGCCTATATCCCCATCCTGGGGGGCAAACCGGCCAGTGGTGCCCAGGCCACGCCACTGGGGATGGGGGTCGGATGAACGACGCTCAGAAGAGCCGCCTGCCCCCCGCGCCCGGCACAGGCCGAGGCCCTGGCAGCCCCCTGCCGCTCGCGGAGCTCCTCGCCGACTCGCCAGGGGGCCGGTCGGCGCCCTCACGGGCCGCGGGGGCCCGGCTGTCGCTGGACGACGCCCTGGGCCCCGTGACCCCCTGGTGCAACGAGGACTGGACACGAGAAGCACATACACAAACACGCAGACAGGCATGCAGGCAGGCAGGCAGACAGACAGACAGACACGCAGGCAGGCAGGCAGGCAGACAGACATAGACAGGCAGGCAGACAGACAGACAGACAAACAGAAAGACAGACAGGCAGGCAGGCAGGCATATGGACAGACAGACTTCTCCCAGATCTGGGTTCCAAGATGCGGTCCTCGAGGTGCTCAGGCCCGGCTCGCCTGAGACGTCCTCGGAACCTCAGGCTCCGAGATCTTGGGGTCCTTGGAACTCTGTGCCCGATCGCAAGGGCTGCGCGATTCGGGGGATTCCATCCCATCCCCTCGAAGGCTCTTGGCGGGGCCGCGGTCGATACAAGCCGGTTACCTAAGGATCAAAGGCCTGTGCGAGCATGTGCGGATAGACCGTGGCCTCCCTTACTAGGGATTCTCGGGTCGTTGCATATTTGTGACCCCGGTGCTACGCTTGAAGGTGATATTGAGGAAGGTCTTGCTGGGGTTGTCCCCGTTGCCTGAGGAAGCCGGGGATTAAGAGGCCAGTAACATAACAAACGGTAGCCCGTAATATATGTGATATGTTCGTGCATGCATATGTGTATATGCGACTATATATGTAATTGTATGTATGTATATGTATGTATATACACACCCTTCAGGAGTGTGGGTATACACAACCACGATGCCTACTCAGGGCCATGCTGTGCCATGATATTGTGTGTAGGCACTTCCTGGCCTCGGCTAGGAGGGCGTATCCACCATTATCGGTTCCCCCTTCGATAGGGGGTCGACTACATAGTTGGTTTGCACCAATTTCTTTTCTTCGGATCCAAGGAAGACGCTTGAACACATTTCGTAGATCTACTAACATTGAGCGTACAGGTATTTGATGGTAGATTCGGAGATAACTTTTTTTTGGGGGTAAGTCAATCCTGTTGTCGGTCCCCTTCTCGATCGAAGGTGTATCGACTCTCCTGGCCTCAGCCGGGGGGGCGTCCTTCCTGAGGTCCAGGGCCGTCCCGGCCAGGTGCGGTGGTGGTGGTGGCGCCCCGTCGCCTGCTGCGCAGAGGACTCCCAGACGGGCGGTGGCTTCGACCCCTGCGCGCTGGATCCCGGCATGGGCATGGTGGGGTGCCTTCTCGGGAGCCCTGTTCGGCCACGCGCAGAGGGGGTGTAGGGGGAGGGGGGGCGGCTTCTCAAAAGCACTTTGCTTCCGGAAGGGCGGGGGTCTCGTCTATAGATGTAGGGCCGGGGCCTTCTAAGAAGCAGCCTCCTGAGGAGCATTCCTCCGTCCCCCTACCCCCCTTGCGCGCGCCGCCAACCTGAAGCGGGAGTCAATGCAAACGGGGGTCAGCCAGAGCGCCCGATCTTGCAGGATCCTGCAGAGCCAGGGCTGCACTGATCCCCGTCAGCGTGCAGGATCCCGCAGGATCTTGCAAGGCCCGACTGATCCGGATTTGCATTGACCCGGGTCTGTGCGTCCCCGGTGCTTGCCCCATCGTCCTCGTCATCGTTTGTGTCGTCATTGTTGCGAAGTCCGTGCGGCCAGTGCCGCAGACCCTGTTCGTAAGGCGTCGTAAGGACGAGGAGGAGGAGGACGAGGAGGAGGAGAAGGAGGAGGAGGAGGGAAGAGGAGGAACATGAGAAAATTGAGGAGGAGGAACGCCAGTAGCAGCCGCCAGTGGCGTCGGTGCCCTGACGGGCCTGGGGCTTTACCCCTGCACTCAGGCGGTGGTCCCGCTGTGGTATGGGTCTGCTGTCTCAGGTCCCTCGGGGACCCGGCGTTCTGAAGCCGCGAGGGTAGCCCCCTTGGGCTGGCGAGGATCCTGCCTATGTGGGGGCAGACTAGCCATTGTTTTAGCCCTTCCGTGACATCGTGGGACAAGGGTGTGGCTGAAGGGGTCGGCCATGCACGGCTCAAGTCGTGCACCGCTTGGCCCCCCTTGGGCAAGCGGGCCTGTGGGGGGCGGGCCAGTCTACTCGTGCGCGGCAACACGCGCCGTGTGTTCGCACGGCGACGCGGGGAACTTGTCTCACCTGGTACTGGAAGAGCCAGGCAAGCATGGGGCCCGCGCACTTTCGATGTGTTGGCGCCGCTGTCGAACGGCGCAGTTGATGCCAGCGTCTCTTTCCTTTTTCCCTCTCGTCTCCTTTCTTCTTCCTCGTGCCGCCTCGGGCGCCGTCGGCGGTGCCCTTGGCCACCGCGTTCTGCGGCGTGGGTGGGGGGTGGCGCTTGGTCCCCTCCGCAGTGTAGTAGGCGCGACAGACGCGTCGCGCCTCGGCTGAGTCGGGGATGAGGAGGGGCAGGAGGAGGATTGGAGGGAAGAGGGGGCTGGGCGATGCATATCGGCATTCGCATGATGAGGCGTCGGCTCGTCTTCGCCCTCGTCCGCGCCGTGCTAATCTCTCCGAGGAGGAAGCGGAGGTCGGCCCGGATCCCTTCGGTCAGCGCTGGGCCCCCCTGTGTCGTTTCCGGCGCGCCCCTTGTCGCGAGTCGCGCTTTGGAGAGGGAAGTCGAGAGCCGAGCCAAGAGATCCGCGGTGCCACCTTTTGGGGCTGCCTTGGAGGCGTATTGAGATTGTTCCTTGGCCATCTTGGGGCCTGTCGCCCAGGGTCCCTCTTTGAGCTGGCTTGGGTCTCTATGCGGGCTCTCGCGTGGGTTTGCGGGGATGGGAAAAGCGTAAGTTGTCAATGATCGCGGCCTCCTGGAACCCTCGTGGGGGGCTGCGTTGGAACATCTTGTGCCAGATGTGGGCTATATTGGGGCACCATGGGGTTGCATTGTATCCTTTGGGCTGCTTTGGGGCCATCTTGGAGCGTCCCACCCCTGTCTGAGCTGCCTTGGGCCTCTCTTGGGACGCTCGCGGGGGCCGTCGGAGGCTTCCTGGAAACCTCCCAGGCCCCGTTTGTAGCTATTTGGGTCGGGGGCTGCGTCGGAACATCTCGGGGCACCTCGGCCCGATCTTGCAGTTTCGTTGGGGTTATCTTGGGGTTTTCTGGGGGCCATTTTGGGGTCTGCTGGCCTGCCAGCCCCTGATGTCCGCAGTGTCTCGGGGGTGCCTCGGAGCGCCCCGGGCTGTCTTGGGGGTGCCTCGGGGCCGTTTTTGGGGCCATATGCTTGGGCGTGGCCGTCCCCCGCCCTGCCCGCTCCCGGGCCGCCCCCCGGGTCCCTCGGAGCTGTCCGAAAAAGGGCCCGAACAAAAAACCCGCCCAGGAACGAAACCATCGCCGATCCGAGTTGCCCTGGTGTTGCCTGGGGGTTTCCCGGGGTTCTCGGGACATTGCCGAGGCATGTGCTTTTGCAAGGACCTCCAGGGGCCACCACGCGCGCGCGAATTGGTGCATAGAAATATTCTGAACCTGTTACGGGAGATTCTAGTACGCCTTTGGCACGTTGGGCTTGCGAATTATTGCCCCCTTCCCCCTTCCTTCGCGTCTCTTCGTCTTGTTCCACCGACCTCCTTTCTGGACTTAGGTTTTCGGACAGGTCAAACCATGCTCTATTATCCATGCTCGTTTTGCCCTGTTTCCTCCCTCTCTTGTCGCTTGCGGCTTGGCCCCGCATTTTTTCTTCGTCTGTGTCATTTTCTTCCCCCTCCTCTTCCCTCGCCCATTCAACCCCTCCGACCTCATTTCACTTCCTGCTCCTGCCCCTTCTTGCCTTTGGCGCTGTCCCGTGCTATCTTCTGCGGCCGTGTCGCAGGTACCCGTTGGTGCCGCCGTTCGGCGCCGGCTTCTGTTCGCACTGGCTGGCCGCATCCCCGGGTGTGCTGGAAGCCGCCGCGATGGAGCCCCCGGATATGAGAGGAGAAACGCATTCTGATACCGATGCCTTTCCTTCGCAAAGGATTTTAGACAACAGTTTTCGGACATTGGTGTGTGCGCGTGTGTGTGTGTGTGTGTGTGTGTGTGTGTGTGAGCGTGTGTGTGTGTGTGTGTATGTTTGTGTGCGTGTACGTGTGTTTGTGTGTGTGTGTGTCCGTGCGTGAATGCGTGCGTACGTGCGTGCGTGCGTGCGTGCGTGTGTGTGCATGTGTGTGTGTGTGCGTCGCGCTTCCACTCCACTGGCTTTATCATCAGTCCTGCTGCCGCAAGCCCCGGGCCGCCGCCGCCGCTGGCTCCCTGGCGCCGACCCCGCCACACCCCTGGGCTGCTCTGAGCGGGCCCGGCTCCTCTTGGTCCCCCTGCCGGGCCAGCGCCTTGTCGTTCCTCTCCCTCCCTCCGCATGATGGCTGAATTCGCCTAGCGCTCCCCGTTTTGCTCTACTCGCCAGCGCAGTCCTTCTGCCTAGCCGCCGAAGCAAAAGTGTGTGTGTGTGTGTGCGTCGCACAGGACAGCCACGAGCGATGCATCCACGGGGCATCGACTGAGCCAGCCAGGATCTTGAGCCCGCGGAGCGGAATTAACGGCGGCCCCCAACAGGAAAACGAACACGCGAACTCGACTAGCGAGTGGCCATGTCTGGATGGCCTTGGAACCAGTTTGTGGTTGGTTTCCCCATATCCAAAATTGGTTTTAGTTTTTTTTACGCACCTGCCGGGCAGGGTGTCCTCCTTCCCTCGTTTCCGCAGTCACGCACTCATGCGCTTTCACACACCGTCACCGTCACCAGCATCATCATAATCATATCATCATCTTCGCCAGTACTACCATCATTCCCACCCACACTCACTCATTCACAGTCACTCACCGTTCATGTTTCATCATGCCATGATCATCACCATCGCCTTCATCACAACCGCCAGCGTCATTACAAGCACCAACACCCCAAACATTTTCCATCATCGATATCATCACCCCAGCAAATTCACGGGTCATCATCATGCCATCATGGGGAAGTCTCGGGCGGGAGTTTCGTCTGTGAGTTACTTGCGAGGACGTGTTTTGCGTAACCCCCTCTGCCCATGGGGACCGCAGGTCGCGTAACTAATCCGAACGCGTCATGGGGATCCTGTAACGTTCGTCGCGGTTGGCCTCCTCAAACTTGGTTATGGAGAAAGTCTCGAGCGGGAGTTCCGTTTGTGAGCGAATTTCGCGGAAGTCTAATGTGTGATTGTTTTTGTTTCCCAATGTGCCCCATGTCTCATGGCACGAATATGAACGGGGCATCGACATCCTGTAACTTTCTTCACGTTTGTTCTCTTTCAATTGAGCGTGGACGAAATATCAGGCAGGAGCCTCGTCGGGGTGAGCGAGCTGCGCAGCAACCCATGTTATTAATCCGAACGGACCATCGGAAACCGGTAATTGTGGTATTTTCTCGCTTCTTCAAATTTGAATATGGGGAAAGTCTCGGGCGGGAGTTTCGTTTGTGAGTGAATGGCGAGGAAGTCTCAGGCGGGAACCCATTCCGTACGGAGCCTGCAGTTCATGTTATTCATCCCGGCGGGCACGCGGGATCATGTAAGTCTTGCGTGTTGGGGCTCCTGACGTTTGCGTGTGGCGGAAGTCTCGAACGGGAGCCCTTCGTGTGAGCGAGTGGAGACGAAGTGCCCGGGGAATGCTTATCCTGCGGCCGTCCTTGCGAGAGAGTTTGGAGCGCGGGTTGCCGGCTTCCCTGCGGAAGACGCTCAGGCTGGGGAAGCAGAACATTCGAGGAAACCGAAATTTGGGTTTGCCGATTTGTTCTTGTCGAGCGCGTCCTGAATTTTGACGGTCCCGTTTCCGCGGGATGTCTGCAGCGGGGGCCCGCGTCAAATTTCATATTGGGTCTCGTCATTTGTATGACGGCCCCCGTCAAGCCAACCCGAGTCCCCCGTACCCGTGTCTTACGTCTCCCCGAACAGGGATTTCGACAAGAGGGCGGAGTTTCAGGGCTGAGGTGGAGCAGCTCGCCGCAAGGCGGGGCTCGTGCTCTTCATGTTTGAGCACAGCCGCGACACGCTCGAGACTGCCAGGGCTGTGTCAGCGGCTTTCTCCCGCGCTCCAGCGGCTCGCGGGGGTAGTCCTAGCGGCCTGGCCTTCGGGTTTGTCCCAACAGTTGCGACTTGGCCATCGGGGAACGCGCCAGCGCCGCCCTTTGCATCCAAGGCGAGAAGAATTATCGTTTTGCGTGCCCTCACTATGGGGGCGGGGGCGGAGGTGGCTGGGGGAGATAGGCAGGAGCAGGAGGAGGACGCGGCGCGGGGGGCGGGAGGAGGGTTTTCGCCAGGGCGAAAAACGGGAATGGCGATGGGAAGAGGGGAAATAGCATTTGCAATCGCAGAGACGACGATGAGGGTTCTTTTCAGATGGGTCGAATGGGAGCGAGCGACGAAACACATTCCCTAGGGATTTCAACGTACATGCGTTGGGCAGTTTTTTTCAAGCATCCCACCGCCAAAACTGATGTTTCATTCGTCTGCCCCTCGTTTCTGCTGCCGTCGGTTTCGTCGCGGTTTTCTATTCGCCCCCCCTGCGCTCGCCTGTCCACCCGCGGCGCTGCACACTCACGGAGTCGGCGTTGGATTTCCGCAGGTGCAGGATGGAGGCGGGGCGGGAAGAGGAGGAGCAGGCGGGGTGGAGGAGGAAGAGGAGAATGAGGAGGAGGAAGACAAGTATGAATAGGAACAACGACAGCATTAATAAAAACACTAGGTCGCGAAATGGTGATGGGCGTGGACAGAGGGGTCGGCGTATGAATGCGAATGGCAATCGCAATAATGATCACAGTCGCAAAAAATGCTCGGATAGGCGTAGGGTTCGGAATAATGATAAGAGAGGAAGAAGAGGAGGAGGAGGAGGAGGAGGAGGAGGAGGAGGAGGAGGAGGAGGAGGAGGAGGAAACGGAAAAAGACGAAACAACAACAGGAAAACGACGTGGAAAGGGAACCGGACGAGGAGGATGAATAAGAGGAGGATGAAGAAGACGAGGACGCGGAGGAGGAAACTGATTCTTCAATATGGGAAGCATATCGGTAAAACGAAAAAACACACGGCAGATACGAATAACCCCAATAACCGGAAAATGATAAAACATTGGCCTGGCGAAGGACCAAACCATATGCAGATGTAAGCACCGCAGTCGTGAATGTCATTTTCGGTGGAGCTGCCTATGAGGCCACGAGACGTGTGAGGGGCGTGCCGAAATGGGTGCGGCGGACGCATGTGGACAGTGTCGCTGGGGGTTTGGGTGGACATTTTTTTGAAGTTTCGACGAAGCGTGCGGGGGGTGCGCCGACATGGGCGTGGCGGGCGCGTGTGGACGGTGCCGTTTGGGGCTTCTGTGGAGCTCCTTACTGGGCCGCGAGGCGTGCGAAGTGTGTGTCGATATGGGTGTGGCGGACGCACGTGGACGGTGCCACGTGGGGTTTCGGTGGACCTCCCTACCGGGGTACGACACGTGCGAGGGGTGTGCCGACATGGGTGTGGCGGGCGCATGTGGACGGTGCCGTTTGGGGGCGTTGGGTGGAGCTCCTTATGGGGCCACGAAACGTGCGAGGGGTGTGCCGACATGTGTGTGGCGTACGCATGTGGACGGTGTCCCTGGGGCCTTGGGTGGAGCGCCTTATGGGGCCACGACGCGTGTGAGGGGTGTGCCGACATGTGTGTGGCGGACGCATGTGGACGGTGCCAGTGGCGTTGTGGGTGGAGCTCCTCATGGGGCCCCGACGAATAGTGTGAGGGGCGCGCCGACATGGGTGCGGCGGGCGCATGTTCAGCTCTCCCCGAGGCTAGGATCCACTAGTGGTGTTTTGTCATGCTCTTTTCGTTGTTTTTTTGTTGTTTTCTTTTTTCGTTTTTGCGGCGCGCGCTGGGCTCGCGCTCCGCACTCATTGTTCATTGCCGTTTTTGTTGGACTCGGGCGCTATAGTTTTGCCCCCTCCTTCTCTAGGGGGGTGGCTGAATCGCGGGCGCGCGTATGCCCATGGTTGCGCATCTCGCCAGAATGATTCGCGGCCATGGCGATAGCGCGGGGCGGGGCCCGGTGCGTGCCCAACGGCATGCGCGTTGCACGATCGCGGCGGAGTCGTCTTAAACGTGTGGTCATTATTTTGGCGTGGTTTGGAAATGACCCGCCAACGCCTTCCCGACATTGCAAAACACTCACAGGTGGCCATTGCTGTCAAACGCTCACAAATTGCCATACACCGCCCTGCAGGCACTCGGAGGCTTCCTCCTCCCAGTGTCGCGCCCGGGAGGCTCACATAGTGAGTCGGGCGAGTGTTTCTCAGCCATGTCAGTCGCCCTCGGCATCCCTGCGCGCGCTGACAGGGGGTGCTTTCTGCAGACGACTGCCGACGGCCCATCGACCCATCGGCCCAAATTGCATTGCCGATTAAGGAACTTGCGGGTGCTTCAACACGTATAACAGTTGAGCTGCAAAGGGGACCTTCGCCACAGATGTGCGCAAGATATGCATGGGCCAATGTACGACCGTGTGAGCATTAACCGGTATAGAACACGACATTGAGCATCGGCCATCATATGGAAATATGCATGCATGCGCGGGTAAAGAAAAACACGCGCATGGGCCAGTGAAGAACGAAAGCGATGCACAAGTGCATCCAACATGTGGTAACGACTACTCGACCGCAAGGTACGCGGCCTGCCTCTCTCGAGCGCTGTCTCTGGGGCAGGCATTGCCTCGCGGGGTTTTCGTGGGGCTTTGTTGGGCTCCCACGGGTCTCGCGGGGCTCGCTTGTCGGGCTCTTGCGGGGGTCCTGCGGGGCTCTCATGGGGTTCCCCGCAAGGATTTCGCCGGGCGTTCCTCGGTTCGCTCGGGGTCTCGCGGGGCTCACGTGGGGCTCTCGCCGGGCTCCCCCAGGGGTTCTCGCGAGGCTCTCGTGGGGCTCTTGCGGGCCCGATTGG